AGTAGAACAGCGCGGCGACGGTCGCGGACGCTGCTGATCTGCTGGAAGCGCACGTCCAGCAGCAAGAAGGCGGCGCACGCGAGGAAAGCCCCGAGTCCCAGCACGACGCCGAAGCGGCAGGCACCCGCGTTCCCATTGAAGATGCAGCGCAGTTCCGGGCCGCTGTCCGCGTTCACATAGCCCTCGTTGACTATAGGCCCAAACACGGCAATGGAGAACACCTGCGGGGCGGTGGCGCTGCTCAAAGCCCTGCACAGGTCCTCCTCTCTCTAGCACCTAGAGTCTCCAGGCCTGAGCCCGAGTTCTCCTGCAGTATCTTTCCCACCCTTCAAGCATTTAGTAATTATGAACAACATGAACCACTTAGCATCTGCTAGGCCCAGGTACCGTGCTAACACCACTACTTTTAAGTACAATCCTCCCAAAACCCATGTGCAGCCATTTTCTATGGTCAAATGCTTCCCCCCCTTTGTTTTATTTTGTTTTGGAGACAGGGTACCGTTATGCAGTTCAGGCTGGGCTCGAACTCTCTCAGTGATCCTCCTGCTTCAGCCTCCTGAATGCTGGGATTACAGGCATGCACCACCATGCCCAGCTCGAGCTACATGGTTCTTTATCACCTGTGCAGCTGGGGATACTGGAGTTCCAACAGGTTAAAGGGATTGTCCAGGGTCCCAAGGCTTATCAGAACCAGGGAAGAGATTCAAGCCAGCTCCTCTGCATGGCCTAGGAACTATGGCGTCCACTCAGGGTGCACGCCACAGTGTGGAACAGGAGTCTTCACGTGAGTAGGTCGGTGAGTCTGGAACTGCAGTCTGGAGGGTTCAGGGAAGGGAGTGGATGGCAGACTGCACAGAAGGTATAGGCCAGGCCCAAGGCTGAACCTGCTCTCAGCATCTGGGAGCTGTGCACCTGCCTCCTAGCATGCTTCCTGGGTAAACAGCCCAGGGTTTGGAGGGCTGGGTGGGAGAACGTCCACCAGCTTCGGCAGTGGTGGGTACCTGAAGGATGATGTTCTCCTCGGAACTGATGAACAGCAGCCATGAGCATTTGGGTTCAAAAGGCAACATCACTGACCTTTAGAGTTCAGCCCAATCTCAGTACCTTCTGCACACAGTTCTAGGCAGGCAGGTAGGGCATGGACCACAGTCCTTTTAAACCTGACTCTGGATTTTTGGGTTTTTTTTTTTTTTTTTGTTTC